ATCCCCCAGCGAGCATTCGCTGGCTGGGGAATTCTGGGAGTTGAAGTCCGGACATCTTCAAGTTGCCAAGTTTGAGAAACACTGTACTAAGGATAATTGCTATGTGCCACCCAAACAGGGAAGGACAGCTTAGTTAGCATGTTTCATTACCATATTTAAACAATAAAGTTTCCCTCTCTTGAGACTGGATTTGGATGACATACTAGCTTAGTTAATCACAAGTTACTCCATTTTGCAAACTGGATATTCCTCAAAGGAGTTACTTCAGTACAGCAACATGGGATAGGTGATTCTGATTCTATAGTGGGCAGGTCTTTACAGACTCCATATTTTATTGCTTTGCTTTAATAGAATTGGTAGCCCTAAGCTCTGCAAAACATTTTGAAATACAGTTCCCACAGTCCTTTGCTATAGGCTTTGACAACCGAGAGAAACTGAAGCTTAAGAAGCCTGTTTAATTGGTCATATTGGTCAGGTTAGCATCATGAAACCTCAATCATGTTCAGAAACAATATACTACTGAAAACCAGATGCTCAGGACAATGAACAGAGGAAGCCACATTTTCCTCAGCTTTGCTTTTGAGCACTTGGCTGCTGCAGAGCTTTCATTTAAGGGCTACAAGAATTCAGATAACAACTAAATACAGCAAAAAGATACAGCAGAATCTTCTACTGTTAACTATTGCCTGTCTGGATTTGTCCAGAGGTTGTAATTATGCATACCAGAATGTTCTACTGAATAGATCTTCATTTGTCTGCTGAGCCTGAGGCCGAATTCAGAAAGCACCATACTCTTAAAACATGTTTTCATAATTAATGCTTGGTTTGACTTTAATCTCCTCCGAAATATTCTGCTGGTCCTGATAGACACTGAAGGAAGTCCTTTTATAGTCGTAAAATGCATTTTACTTGTTTTTCTGTGTAAGTGTATTAATAGTATCGGATGCCCATGGGAGTGAAGGAAACCACAAGAAGAATGTTCCAGAATGCAGGGCTTGTCATCAGCATAGGGTGTGGGCCCTGCTGTGATCAAGCTAAAAAGAAAACCCCATACCTTTCCTTCCTCCCCCCCCCCTGATTGTTACAAAAAGTAGCAATGAGTATTCCATCCAAGCCCTCATTAGATGCAAGCAAAATGAAAGAAAAGATACTCGCACACATAGGATGCTGTGGAAATGTTCTGTTATTTGGCAAGGGGCATCCAATCTCTACTTCCTACCTTATTACTGTATTTTCCAGAGTATAAGACGCACCTTTCCCTCTAAAAAGAGGGTGGAAATGTTGGTGCNAGTTGCTTGTCTTATAACCAACTCTCAGCTGCTCTCAATCAATGTGACTACAGTTGACTATATCAGTGGAATCAGTGACTTCACATGCAAGGACTACCATAAAAATAAAAATTTCTAGGCCACCTAAAAGATGAGGAAGTTTGCTACTTAAATAGCCAGGCAGCAGTTTTTCCACACAACATACAACAACATATAAGGCCCCAGATGAGACAGCAGTCTAGTGTTTAGTTTTTTGTTAATGATCTCATGAGCTCCATGAATTTGTTTACACGTGGCCGTTGCTGTTGCATCTTTTGTTTTCTATTTACCCAGTGTTGGGTTTTGACCTTAATTAAAATTTTGTTCGCTAAGGTTTTTCTGGCCTGACATGCACAAGAACAACTTTCCACCTTACATTGTCGGTGAGGGAAACTCCGTTTATCCAAAACCCAGCAGAGGAAGCAAATTTGCTTCAAACCAATGGTGAGGCAGAGCCCAGCCTAGTGATCTCTAACACGTCTTGACTTCCTTCCTTAAAGAAAAAAAAAATCAAACCACAAATAAAGCTGATGCTGAAAACAGAAGTTGCACAGCAAGACTCAGCCATGGCAGAAGGCAAAACAGGAGGTGCCGGCCTGTTTGCCAAGCGGGTTCAAAAGCAGTTCAGCCGAGCTCAAGAAAAGGTATTTATCTTGAAATGTTCTTTCACGTTACTAGTTTTATTATGACCTGAAAATGATATCGTCTTTTTTTGGATTCTCCTGAATTGTCCCACCAAAATTAGATAAAGTTGAAAGGGAAGTTGGGTTGCTCTTCGTTTCTGCTTTCTGGACATTTTGCATATTGTTCTGAATATTTTTCACATACTGGAACAAGCCGGTATGCATATCGTATCAGTATACTCCAATTTTATCTCAACAATAAACTTGTAAATCATGTAGGCTGGTCTAAGAAGCAATGATTGGGTCAGAAAATCATTCAATCATCCAGGACTGAATGAGAAACTGAAGAAAATGGATTTTCTCTAACCCTCCCCATCCTAATATAAGATCCTAATCATCACAACTTATCAGTTATCCTCTAAGCCACTCTAACGTTTTTGCTCTCCTTCTTTCAATAACATCCCAATTAAAGAATAGATTTTTCTCCTATATATCTGGAACAAACAATCTAAACCACCCCTGTAATTATGACTGTATGAGAGCTGGGTGGCCAGGAGGGGAGTAGTTTTCATATACTAATTAATCTACAGAAGGATTAGCACAGTTATGCTAAAAAGTTAAACTAGCCAAATCACTACCGGTAGTCCTTGACTTACGAACACAACTGAGCCCAGCATTTCTGTTGCTAAACAAGGCATTTGTTAAATGAGTTTTCCCCCGCTTTCCAAACCTTCTTGCCACCGTTGTTAGGTGAATTGTTGCAGTTGTTATGTTAAAAACACGGCTGTTAAGTGAATCTGACTTTGCTTGTCAGAAGGTCACAAAAGGGGATTATATAACCCTGGGACACTGCAACTGTCCCTTGCAGTGTCGGCAAGCATCCGAATTTGATCACATGACCACGGGGATGCTGTTGTGGTCGTAAGTGTGAAAAATAGTCAGAATCACTTTTTTCAGTCTCACTTTGAACAGTCACTAATTCAAAGGATTGTAAATAAAGCGCTACCTATATTCCCCACCCCCACCAGAGATTTAGCAGCTGTCATTCTATCAAGCAGGATGGTGATCTTTTCCTGGAAAGTCTTGATCTAAAGCGGGCCCTCCACTGGCAAAGGTTCTATCTAGGGCAGGGGTGTCAAACTTGATTTCATTGAGGGATGCTTCAGGGTTGTGTTTGACCTTGGAGGGCCAGCGTGGGTGTGGCCAGCTTGACGTCACTCGTGTTGGAGGTGCCTGTGGCAGCCCAAGCGCTCTGCCAGCGAAAATGAGCTCCCGAGCTCCGTTTCCAGCTGCAACGGCCTCCTGAAACCCTCTGCCAGTGAAAACGGAGCTTGGGAGCCCAACTATGTTTCCGCTAGCAGAGGCACAGCAGGCCAGTCGTTCATTGTTTCCAGGTCGGCCCCACTGGCC